TCTTGAAAAGATTAGGAATTCCAGACATGAATAGCAACATGGGAATATGGAGATGTAGCTTAAAACAAAGCAGGAATGGATACTAAATATTCAGGATGAAGTGATGTTTAGAAAAAAACTGGGGAAGAGTCGTATTGATTAAGGAGCATGTAATAGTACTGGACAGTGACAATTTCTAGCAGGGCAACAAGGACAGTATCTATTTTGTTCAAGAAACTGTATCTTTCCCACTATATGCTACATTTGAATAGAACGTCCTTCACGGAAGGATATCTGCCATCTACACCTGATCTGCCCTACGTGTGACTTCAGACCCTCAGCAAAGTAGTTGACTCTCAACTGCCCTCTGAAATGACCCAGCAAACCACGCAGTTGTATCAATCGCTATGAAGTCTTAAAAAAGACTCCACACCCCATGAAGTCTCATGGCTTCAGGTTAAACATGGGGACGGGAACCTGCTGCTGATGACCATGCACTGACCACCTGGGTTGATGGATCAGTCCTCTCCACGTTGAACAACACTTGGAGGAAGCACTGAGGGTGGCAAGGGAGCAAAACATACTCTGGATCAGGGATTTCAATGTCCAACATTAAAAGTGGCTTGAAGCAACACTATTGATCGAGCTGGTCGGGTGCTAAAGGGCAGAGCTGCTAGACTGGGTCTGCAACAGGTGGTGAGGGAACCAATAAGGGAAAAACATACTTGACCTCATCATTACCAATCTACTGGCTGCAGATGCATCGGTCCATGACTATACCAGTGACAGTGACAAACGCACAGTCCTTGTGGAGATGAAGTCTCACATTGAGAATACCCTCCATCATGTCGTATGGCACAATCACTGTGCTAACTGGGACAGACTTTGAACAGATCTAGCAATCCAAGACGTGGCATCCATGAGGTGTTGTGTAGGCTATCAACAGCAGCAGAATTGTACACTAGCCTAATTTGCAACTTCATGGCCCAGCATATCCTCTACTCAAACCTTACGATCAAGCCAGGGAATCAACAATGGTTCGATGAAGAATGCAGTAGGGCATGCCAGGAGCAGCACCATGCATACAAGCCCCGACAAATCCCCGACACCTGAGGTCTTGTGCTCCAGAACTTGCTGCCCCCCTAGCAAGGCTATTACAGTACAATTACAACACTGGCATCTACTCAACAATGTGGAAATTTGCCCAGGTATGTCCTGCAAACAAAAAGCAGGACCAATCCAACCCAATCCTGCCAATTACTGTCCCATCAGTCTACTCTCAATCATCTGTAAAATAATGGGAAATGTCATCAACAGTGCTATAAAGCAGCACCTGTTCAACAATAGCCTGCTCAGTACACTCAGCTCCTGACCTCATTACAGCTTTGGTTCAAACATGGACAAAAGAGCTGAATTCAAGATGTGAGGTGAGAGTGACAGCCCTTGACATCAGGACTGCAGTCAACAGAGTGTGGCATTAAGAAGCCTAGCAAAACTGGAATCAATGGGTAACAGTGTGCAAACCCTCGGCTGATTGGAGTCATACCTGGCACAGAGGAAGATGATTGTGGTTGTTGAAGATCAGCAACAGGACATCAATGCAGGAGTTCCTCAGTGTGGTGTCCTAGGCCCACCCATCTTCTCCTGCTTCATCAATGACCTTCCCTCAATCATAACGTCAAAAGTGGGTATGTCCACCAATGATTGCACAGTGTTCAGCACCATTTGCGATTCCTCCGATACTGAATCAGGCCATGTTCAAATGCCACAAGATCTGGACAACATTCAGGCTTGGGCAGACAAGTGGTAAGTAACATCTGCATCATAAAAATGCCAGGCAATGACCATCTTCAATAAGGGACCTTCTAATCACTGCCCCTTGATATTCAATATTGTTACCATCACTGAATCCCACAGTATCTACATCCTTGGGGTTACTAATGACCAGAAACTCATGGACTCATCACATAAACTCAGTGGCCATAAGAGGAAGCAGAGGCTCAGAATACTGAGGCAAGTAACTCGCCTCCTGACTTCTTAAAGCCTATCCACCATCTACAAAGTACAAGTCAGGAGTGTGAAAGAATACTCCCCACTTGCCATGATGGGCGCAGTTCCAAAAACAATCAAAGCTTGACACCATCCAGAACAAATCAGCCCGCTTCATGGCTTGTGGATGAGGTGCCATCCACTCTCTCCACCACTGACGCTCAATAGCAGCCGGTGTGTATTATCTACAAGACGCACTGCTGAAATTCACCAAAGATCCTTAGACAGCACCTTCCAAACCTATGACCACTTCCATCTAGATGGACAAGGACATTAGAAATGTGAGAACACCATCTGCAAGCCACTCACCACCCTGACTTGGAAGTACATTGCTGTCCCTTTACTGTCACTGGGTCAAAATCTCAAGAATTCTCTCCCTAACAGCATGTGGACTGCAGTGGTTCAAGAAGGTAGCTCACTACTACTTTCTCAAGGTAAGCCAGGGACAGGCAATAAAATGCTGGCCAGCCAGTGATGTTCACATCCCATGAGTGAATAACAAAAAAAACAAGATGGGTTCTGTATATGCTTGGGGTAGGGTTAATTGGGTGGGTCACAATTCACAACTGGGCTCAGGGAGAGAGGAAGGCCACAAAAAAGGTGAGACAGAGAAAGGGGCTGCAAGAGTTGGGTGGGGGGGTGAAGAGAGACTGACAGCGCAAGACAGAGAGAGCATGAGACAGAAAGAGAAAGTGAGAGATAGAAAGAGAGAGAGAGAGATTGTAAAGAGAACCGTTTCAAAAATGTCAACAAATGAACAATCACCTGACTAGAGTCTAGGAAATCTTGAAATCACTGAGATAATGAATTACTTGCAAATGAACTGGTAATCTCTTGTAGATGCTATTGTAATGAACACTGTATCCATTATTGTTAAATATAAATCTGAGATGCAATACAGAGGATAGTATCTAACACCCTGTTTAAAATTTTCCAACTTTGTGAATGTGATGGGAATGCATTATCTGTGACATCGCCAGTCTCCAGATGGCATATCTAGAGCAATAACTTTTTGTGTGTGAATGATAAGGGGTCACCAGTTAGGGTAGAGAATGAGGAGGAATTTCTCAGAGGGTAACAATTTGGTGGATTTCATTACCACAGGGAGCTGAGGAGACAGTGACATTAAGTACAAATTTAATACTCAAACAGATAGATTCTTGATCACTAGGGAATCAAGGATTTATAGGGAAAGGGTAGAAATGTGGACATGAGAAGGGTCGGATCAGCCATGATCCTACTGAATGGCTTACTCCTGTTTCTATTTCTTACGGTCTTACGATCAAGTCCGAGGTAGCCAAATCTTTAATCAGTAAATGAATTACAGGGTTGCAGGTTAAAAAAATGTGGGAAGTGGAGTTGAAGATTATCAGATTAGCCATGTTCTGACTGAATGCTGAGCAGACTCGATGGGTTGAAATGTTGTACTTCAGTTCCTACACCTTACAGTCTTATGGATATATGTACAAGTTATTTTGAAATAAATTTTTATTAACTTATGCCTGTTGTCTTATGCCAATTTAGTTCCTATGGGTTATAGGAAATTAATCCTTTCCACATGATTTAAGTTTAATGGGGTTTGATAATTATATAGCATATTGATAAATTCTTCTAATTCTGTGTCAAACAAAGTCCAAATACACCAAACAAATACAGAAAGTAACATTACCACATGACTGCATCACCTAACAAATGAACTGGTGAGATTGAAAAAGTATTCCCTGAAATTCAAAAAGTGGCCCTGAAGTGAAACCCTAAAAAATTATCCTGTGCCAAATGATTAAAGAATTGCAAATGTTACATTATTTTGCAAACGAGGGTATAAAAATAGAGCCAGCAACTGCACAGCTGTCAGTTTAATCTTACTGGCAGGAAAACTTTTGGAAACCATAATCCAGAAAAAAATTAAGTCAATTGGACAAATGTAGATAAAGTAAGGACAGCCATCAAGAATTCGTTACAGGAAACAATTAGATAAACTAACTTGTCTTTGATGAGGTAGTAGAAAGTCATGAGGGTAATTGTTTGATGGGACATAAACGAAACTTCAAAATACATTTAGTGGAAGTGCCACACAAAGAGCTTGTTAATAAAGTCAATAAGGAATTACAAGAATGATGGCAACATTTACGCAACATTCGCTAGGTGACAACAAACAGAATACTGCCATTGATATTTTTAAACAACCGGTTCAGGGATGTGTTTTTTTAAGAGTCGAACACTGTATCTAATCGGGTTCCCCAGGGGTTGGATATTAGGACTACCGTTTGTTTATATATTTTAATGACGATGACTTGGGGACATGGAACACGGTTTCAAAATTTGCAGATTTGCTCAAGGTGAGCTCTCTAGAGAGAAAAATATATTGTGCTCTGACTAGGAACCAACGGAACATCAACTTAAGGGGGCTGGTAAGAGAACCAAAGGCAACCTTAGGGGTCTTGTAGAGGTCGATCAAATCGCGGTTTTCAAAAGAGAATTTGAATGATAATTTGAAGGAAAATAAAAGGGAAAAGGGACGGGGAAGTATAACTAGATAAATTGTTTACAGGGTTTGATGACTATAGTACAAAACGGTGCTTATATGTATGCCTATGATTATTTGTAGTAAGCAGACTTACACGCGGTGCTGGCAGCTGCTACAGTCCGGGCCCGATGGCGGCGGGAGGCCGCCGGGAGAACGCGGGGCCGCACGTGCCGTAACCGCCGCGCCGCACCACCCACCCCAACCCCCAACCCCCAACCCCCAACCCCCAACCACGCCGTCACGTGTTCCAACGGTCGCCTAAGGAGTCGGTGGGGGTTCGGCTCGAAACGCCGCTGGGAAGGAAGCGCGCTCCCCACCTTAAGGCCCTGAAGTGGGTAGGGATATACATGACTGGGTTCAAGCTTCAAACTCCAGTCCTAGGCTGCACCTGGCCTCGAACTTCTTGGTTAATGTTAGCGGCTCGAACACCAATTGAAATACCCACCTCCCTGTCCAGATGCTGCTTAAGATGGACCCCGGCCACCGTGCCCACTGTCAATACCACGGAAACACCGAAAACCACCTTAGACACCGTCGACATCCTGCGGCCTGGAAATCCCCGCCCGTCACCATAGAGACCGAGACCCCACCAGCCGAATGCCGAGGACAAGATTCTAGGCATGAATGGCCGAGCGAAGAAAAGGAGATGGGGCAGAGGGGAAGTCTGAAACCGAAAGGAAACACCATCACCATAGAGACCCTGGTGCGCGCCAAGAGTTAGATCTTAAATGAGATCAACCACGCCTGAAAGTGGTTGGGAAACGTCTGAAACTTCCTGTTGTAATCCTGAGGGAAAAGTCTAGTGTTATGTCATTTGACACAATATTCGGACGAGGGGCCGATGCTTTTTTTGAAACTCCGGTTATACAGATGTACATTGTTCTGAAGAAGGGTAATACTCGAAATGACGACTTCTCCTCCAGATGCTGCGTGGCTTGCTGTATTTTTCCAGCCTCCTGTTCGTCTACCATGGATCCAGTATCTGCGGTTTTTTGGTCTCTATACAGATGTAGTGACACGGAGCTTGGAGAATTACCATTTGATTCGACAAACTCATCATGGCTTTATGAAAGGGAAAATATATTTGACAAATTTAAAATATTTTTGAGGGTGTAACTGGTTCTGCAGGCTTTTTTTAAATAAATTGTGGAATATTTGCATTTTCAGAAGGCATTCAAAAAAACATTAATATCGCTGGAAATAGTTACACAAGATAGGCATCATGAAATTGAGGGTTCGTTCAGAGACAGTATACAGGGAGAGGATACGAGGTGACAAAATAAGAACTTAAAAGGCTCCAAAGACACACAAACCAAGGCAAAAAACTCTAGGCCAGTTAGGCTTATCTCAGTCATTGGTAAGATTTTCAAGTTCATTATTAATGATGAGATTGCAGAGTAGAACATAGAGCAATACAGCACAGTACAGGCCCTTCAGCCCACGATGTTGTGCCGAACTTCGAAGTGTATGGTAAAATAGGGCTGAGTCAGCACTGCTTTGTCAAGCGGAGGTCATGCCTGACAAATCTGTTCTTTGAGGTAATGAGCAAGTTACTGGAGAGCCAGTAGTTGTAATCGATTTGGATTTCCAGAAGGCCTTTGACAAGATGCTGAACAGGAAGCTGCTAAATAAGATAAGAGATCTTGGTCACGAACAAAAACAAATTGCTGCAAAAGCTCAGCTGGTCTGCCAGCATTTGCGGAGAGAAATTAGAGTGAACTGTTCTCTCTCTTTGTGCTCTATCCCCCTCCTATGGGTTACTCCTTACCCCCTGCTCCACCCTATCTTCTGCATATAAACTGGCATTTTCCTAGCCACCATCAGTTCTAAGGAAGAGTTACTCAAGCCAAAACGTTAACTCTGAGTTCCGCAGAGGTCCATGTTGGAACCACAACTATTCACGTTATGCATTAACGATCTGGTCAAAGAAAGTGGGAGCATTGTAGCTTAAGTTTGCAGATGACACAAAGATAGATGGAGGAGCAGGTAGTGTTGAGGAAACAGGGGGTCTGCAGAAGGACGTGGACAGTCTAGGAGACTGGGCAAAGAAGTGGCAGATGGAATACAATATGGGAAAGTGTGAGGTTATGCATTTTGGCAGGAAAAGTGTGAGGTGTAGACTTTTCTAAATTGCAAAAAGGCTTCGGTGATCTGAAGCAAAAAGGGACTTGGGAGACCTAGCTCAGGATTCTTTTAAGGTTAACATGCAGGTTCAGTTGGCAGTTAGGAAGACAAATGCAATGTAGCATTCATTTCAAGAGGGCTAGTATATAAGTGCGGAAATGCACTGCTGAGACTGTATATGGCTCTGGTCAGACCACATTTGGAATATTGTGGGCCCCATATCTAAGGAAGGATGTGCTGGTGTTAAAGGAGGTCCAGGGGAAGTTTTCAAGAATCATCCCAGGGGTTGAAGGGCTTGTCATATGAGGAGCGATTGAGGACTCCGGGTCTGTACTTGATGGAGTTTAGAAGGATAAAGGGGAATCTGATTGAAACTTACACAATATTGAGAGCCCTGGATGGAGTAGACATGGAGATGATGTTTCCATTAGCAGGAGACTAGGACTCAAGGGAACAGCCTCAGAGTGAAGGAACGACCCTTTAGAACTGAGATGAGGAAGAATCTTCAGCCAGAGGGTGGTTAATCTGTGGAATTGCAGAGGGCTGTGGAGGCCAAGTCATTTATTGTATTTAAGACAGATGTTGATGGGGTCTTAAGGTAAAGGGATCAAGAGTTATGGGGAGAAGGCAGGAAAATGGGGTTGTGGAACAGATCAGCCATGATTGAATGGAGCAGTCTTGATGGGCCGAATGGCCTAATTCTGCTCCTATGTCCTATGGGCCATAACCTTTGCAGTGTCCTGTGCATTCAACCATTTCTTTATCATGTCGAGTGAATCAAATTTGGCTGAAGACTAGTTTCTGCGACGCTAGGGACCATTGGAGGAGGCCAAGATGGATCATCTACTGGCCGAAGATTGCTGCGAATGCATCAGCCATACTTTTTGCACTGATACGTCAGGTTTCTCCATCATTGAGGATGGGGATGTTTGCAGATCCTTCTCCTCCAATGAGTTGTTTAATTGTTCACCACCATTCAAAACTGGATTTGGAAGGACTGCGCAGCTTAGATCTAATCCATTGGTTATGGGGTCACTTAACTCTGTCTTTCACTTGTTGCTTATGCTGCTTGGCATGTTGTAGCTTCACCAGGTTGACATTTCATTTTTTAGGTCTGCTTTGTGGTGCTCCTCGCATTTCCTCCCGCACTGTCCTTTGAACTAGGGTTGATCCCTTAGCTTGATGGTAATGGTCGAGTTATGTCAGGCTTTGGTGAGAACCTATCTACAATGCAGTGCACTGTATTGATATCCTTTCTTAGACCTGCACTAAACTTAAACAAGTGTATGATTGTTTACCAAGTTGATTCCTGAGATGGAATTGCACTCCTGTGAGGAAAGATTGATTAGTTGGTCCTAATTTCTCTGAAGTATAGTCAAATGAGAGATGATTGCATTGAAATATTTGCATTTCTTATTGGTACTGAGGGGCTGCATCCCCTTGCTGGAGAATATTGAACTGGAGGTAATAGTCTCAAGGAGTCAGCGATTTTGGACTGAGATAAGGAAAAATTTCTCCAATCAGATGATTGTGAATCTGAGGCTTATGAATGCTGAAATGTTGCGAGTTAAGGACTGTGACTAATCAAGGGCTACAAGAATAGGGTGGGAAAGTAAAGTTAATGCAATGTAGAAGTTGCCATGATCTTATTGAATGATGGGCAGGCTTGAAGTGCTACTTGTCTCCTATTTCTTGCACCTCTGCTCTTATTTCTTACATTGTTATGTTATTGTCATCTCAAATACACTGTCTGAAAGTATGTTGCAAGTATTTGTTAGCATGCAGTAGTGGCCATACCCCAGTAAATCACTTCAATGTGCAAGCTAAATCGGCTGATGGCAGTCATTGAGTTTCCTACCCTTAATGACCTCATCATTTGTGACCCTGGCATTTGGGTATTAATTCTGGCAGGCTACTTCAATTAGACTAATCTAAGTTCTAACTGTTTAAAAGGCGAGACAACATCTTGACCAATGAACCCAGATCTGTCTCCAGCTGTCCAGACTTACTTTGCCACTGAATCAAGGTGAATGAGGATGAGAGTGTGAGGCTGATGATATCCGATTCTCCTTCAATCTAATCCATTTCACACACAAGTCGTGATAAATTTTCTATCTACCATCTGTCATCCATCATCTATTTGTCACGAGTCTGATAATGATTGGCAAGAAATGTAGCAGAAATGTACTTACCGAGAGTTATAACCGTGAACCTGCATTCAAGCGGTTTTAAGGCCTTAACATCTTTTTACTGGAAGGAGGCAGAAGTGGAACTTGTTAGTGTCTTGAGTGTGTGTGCATCCCTCTCAGGACCATACTGCCCAGATCCCTAGTATGAGGAAGGAGCTGAAACCACCCTAAATATTATCTGCTTCATTTCCCCAGCCAGTGGGCCATGGCTATCAAAGGTCCCAAGAATGCAAATGTAAATAAATCTCAAAAAAATGAGGATAACACTATTTACCATTAGTGCATAGAACATTTTATGGTAAATGTTACCAGACCTGAGAGAGGTACTTCTCGTTGGTAGAGTGCTGGCAAGGAAAATTATCCAGATCACCATCCTTCTCATATCTGGAGTAGGTTAGCTCAAGGAAGTCGGTGCATGTTACATTTTCTTTTTGAGTGGCATGGAAAAGAAGAACAGTGCAAAGATGTTGTTTTGTCATGAACCATTTCGCCACATAGTTGACGTGCCTTCTCAAGGATGTTAAATATCATCTGATGGTATTTAAACTTCCCCTCCATGGCAAAAAGCAACTCTTGTCAGTGTGTATGACCCCTTCCATGATCTACCTAGTCAAGGATAAATTCTATGCTGACTTCCAATCGTTGATTGCTTCTGTGTCAAGTTGATTATTCTTGGTGACTTCAACACAAAAGTTGACGCTGATCATCAGATGTGGGAAGGAGTCATCAGCAAAAAACAGGGTTCACAATTGTAATATAATGGTCACTTTTTTCTTTCAGAAGCTTCTGACGATCAGATGGTGGGACAAAACACTGGACACTGAAGTATTCACCCAAGCTGGCACACTAAGTATCCAAGTTATGTTGAAATAGTTGCAACTGCGTTGAGCTGGTCATGTCGCCAGACTGCCTGACACTCATTTACCAAAGCAGATTGTTTGTTAAAACTTGTGCATACTCATGGTCAAACAAAAACCGTGAGGACACTCTGGTCTCAGTCAGGAGTTTTGGGGTTGACCTAGAGTCCTGGAAGAAGCTCACTCAGGATCACTACATTAGCACAAGCAAATAAGAAGTGGGTCTTCTTTCAAATCAAGCACTTTTGAAAGGCAGAAAGAAATGCAATAAGAGGAAATCCTGTTCCAGCAACTTGTCCAAAACTCAACTCAATTATCTAGATTGTCATTTTCTATTTGAGCATGTCTGATTGGCCTTAGCAGTCACATACATAGTCACTAGAACTCTATCAAACATCCATGATGTTGAACATGGTTAGCTTTATCTCTAAGGATAAACAAGGTGATTCAATGATTTGGTTTTAAATGAGGTGACAGAATCATGTATGGTTCCAAGGAAGTCTAATAACCTTGTTTTTTTGACTTTTCAACATGTTTTACAAGGTGTTTACAATACAAACAGGCTATTCAGCCCAACAGATCTGTACTGACATTCATGGTCCATACAAACTTCCTTCTATCCTTCCTCATTTAATCTCAGCAATGCAATCCTTTTGTAAAAGCAAACCATGTTGGAGAAACACCACATCTAGTTGAATTGTCAGAGCGATTCCAAAGAAATCATAACAGATTCAAAATGTTAACTTTATTTTTGTCTCTGTATATGCTACCAGACCTGCTGAGTGACTCCAGTTTCTGGTTTCTCCAACATTTTCTGGTTTTATTTCCAATCTCCAGCAGCTGCAGTGCTTTATTTTTATTTGAACATATTCTTTTAATTCTTTTCTGCCTTGTGCTTGTCTAGCTTCCTGTTAAAGCATCTATA